AGAAAAAAAGTAAAATATGCTTTGTCCAAGGACTGATTTATTATATATCTTTATCTTATGCATCTTTATTATACATTAATAAATAATAAATATAACAGTAGTAAGATTACTCTTTGTCATATAGGATTCTATTTATACATATATACATAAGCTAGAGCACTATATTTTGATTTTCTCTTCATCGTCTCGGACCGAGCTCTTTTCCTATATTTTCGTTGTTTTAGCGTTAATGAGCTTTTTTCCAAGCTCATTTTCCCTATATTTGAGCTTGGAGAAAAAAACGAGCTCTTTTCCATTTTATCCAATTTAGAATCTGTAATTTCATGAAATTTTCTATTCATCAATAAAGATCTAAATAGTGTACAATGTCAAAATAGTGACGGAAGATACTTACATCATTACTGACAAAAATGATGAATCGAGAAATTTATTTAACTATTATAGAGTAGAATAGTGAAAAAATAACACATGACAATAAATCAATCCAATCTATCTATTTAGACTAATATCGATACTAATTAGGATAGATTCCTACCTGTTGCAACTATCGTATATTCACATCTCTACATATATTTGTTCGTTGATCTCATATTGAATTATATATACACTGTATTACTACATAGAAATATACACCACAGAATACATAATTATATATATATCCTAGGACGAGTGATACTACTAACCTTTGAGTGTGTTATTACATGTGTCCTAGAGATGTAAGATGATAAATACTTCTCAATAGAAATCTGTTAAATTAAATACATAAAACAAATAGTGTTCATTCTGAAGGATTACTCTTTTATATTTGGATCTAAAATTAAGTAGTATTTTAATAAAACAATAAAATCAAAATCCCATAGCTACCCATTTTATTTTTTTTTTTGTTTTTTAGTATGAAAAATAACACCACTACATTTCATTGTAATATATACATGAAAGAAAAATAGATTTCATTTCTATGCATAATTAAATATTTAATCTGTTACAATAATAAGTTTCAAGGTATGAAATGATACAAGAGATACTGAGAAAAAGAAGAAAAAAATGTGAGATAAATCAGGAACATTTCATTTTTTTTGTAAGCGCATTCTGTTTACATATATGTCTCTTGTTTTTCATCTTTTTTATTTTGACATTCTCGAACAATTGTTTCCAATTTATCACACAAAAAATCAGCATCAAGTTTTGAAAAAGACATTGGTCTAAAATAAAAAAAAGTTTAGTTATAAAAATTTCAATAATATATTATTTACGGTTTAAATTTAATAACATTATGCTTAGGTCCATCAAGTGAAATAATAATCATATGTTCACGAAGTCTAGATATATTATTATTAAATAATAATAAGATTAATATTGAAATTTTCATACTTATATTTGATTTCATGTGCTTCTTCAATACCAGGTTCACGTTTTTTTGGATCACGTACTATTTCAACACCAAGAAAAAATCCTCGACCACGTACATCACCAATAATATCATATTTTTTACCTAATTCTTTTAATTTATTTAATAAATAATTCCCAACATCTCGTGCATTATCCATTAATTTTTCTCTTTCAATTATATCAAGTACAGCAATAGCTGCACGACAACTAACTGGATTACCACCATAAGTATTAAAATATTCAATACCATCTTTATCAAATTTTTGTGTTATACATCGACGTGTTATTAATGCAGCAACAGGAAATCCATTACCCATTGATTTACCCATTGTAACAAAATCAGGAACAATATCTAAATAATCATAAAATAAACATTGTTAACATAATCTCTACAAGATTAAAATATGATATTGCTAATCAAAAGAAGATCGTATTACTCTTGACTTATCTCTTCGCCACCTCTTTTACTTAAGGGGACCCCCCCCCCTTTTCCGACTCAGAATTTTCACACTTTTCGTTTTTCATTTTTTGTGATTAGTATATAGATTTAAATGCCCTCTATCCATTGAGCACACTTTGAGAACTGAAAACCCACATCTTATATATAAAAAAACTCGAAAAAAATCGCAAAATATGCTGAAAAAACCAAAAAACAGAAATTTCTTTGCTTTTTTCTCAAAATCAGGTTTTTCACCAAAAAAATGAAGTTTTCCCCCCTTTTCTCCTACACGGTATGTCCGATCGGGCTCAATTTTTTTTTATGAGTACTTTAATCAAATTGGGGTGCGCTTTTTTTTTTCTTAAAAATGTTGTTCCTACGAAATTTGGCAGCCCTTTAAAAATTAGTACTATTGAAAAAAAACATATTTTTTGAGGGTGCTTCGAGTATTTTGCTTCTCCTGAGCACTAGGAACGATATTTTTAAAAGAAAAAAAAAAATACGCACCCCAATTTGATCCTAGTTGTCACAGAAAAAATTTCAGCTCGAAAAAATGAAGTATAGAGATTTGCGGGGAGGAAACTTCGAGCCATTTTTAGCCTTTGCGACCCCCATATCTTCCCGAAGGAAGCATCCAGGAATTTTGAGCCTATGACAACTTTTACTCTACTCATCGAGATCTATCTGGCCTGAAAATTTCATAACTTTTCAATGAGCCGTTCTCGAGAAACCCCGGAAAGGGGGGGGGGTCCCCTTAATCTTCGTAAAGAAGTAGTTCATATGTTAAAATAAAATGCTAATGATATATAGTCTGTTTTAATAAATAACCTTCTTCATATGATTGAAATGCCCAAAAGTGAGTACCAGTACGTCCAAAACCTGTTTGAACTTCATCGACAAGACATAGAATACCTTTTGATTGAAGATAACTAAATTTAAATAATAAGAATATTTAGTAAAATACAAAACAGCAAAATAATTTAGTTATTTACTCAAATGTATTTTTAAGATAACCTTTTGGATAAATAATTTGTCCACCACATGATTGTAATGATTCAATTAAAAATATTGCTATACGACGACCACGTGATTCAACTTCTTCAACAGTTTGACGAACTTCATCGACATATAATTGACTTAATTTTTCTTCATCATTATTATAATCAACATCACGATATTTACCACGATAAATATCAGGTATTGGTAACTAAAATATTAAAATATATTGAATCAATTATAAATTTTTACATGATAATTTATTCGATCTAACTCAAAGATTAAATTAACATTAAATAGTAAATATCTCTAATATTCAAACCAGAGGGGGGATTGGGCGGGATCAATCCCCCCTGGAAGGTTTAAATCATTGGAGGGGGGTACAGACTTATTCGTTTTCATAAGGAAAAAATCACTTTTTCTCTATGACGGTCCCCCTCGGAAAAAATTCCTGGTTGCGTCCGTGATTCAAACAACAAAAAAAAGGAAGAATATTTATCACATTACAACTATATTTGACATAACTTTTATAAAATTTAATATCAAATTAAATAATTCCTTACAAAATAAATCAGAAGTTAAAATCAATATAATTTTTTTTTTTTGATGTGAAAGATATTTCTATTCATCTCTGAAATTTTTAATCGAAAGTTAAAGAATAACACAAAAGTCTATCTGATAAATATTTAAAAATGTCAGATCATAAACAAAATCGAGACTATATGTGATATTTTGATTTGAATGAACTGTGAATAGAGTTCTGATATTTAGTTTATTACTCTCAAAAATTCTACATTTTTAACGTAATTTTTGTTTTAATATTACATTCTATGAAATTCTAGAAAAATTTCAGAATATGAGCCAATCAAAAGATTTGAAATTTTATACCACCGAAATTTGCATGTCTATGTGCAAAATAGGTTTACTTGAGGACATTGAGTTAAAAAAACAACATCTTAAAAATTTAGTACCTTTACAGCGATAAGCTGAGGGCTCGATCTTCCCTTCTAATACAATTAAACAATACGCTTGACTTATTTACTTCGAACTAAAACTAATCAAATGTTACTATTAATCAATACGTACACAATGGACATGCTTCGGTGGTTCCATTGCAATATTTGCTTTTTTAAACTTATAAGTTGATAAATCAAAAAGTGTTGTTAAATGTCCATGATAAGCACTAAATATCAAAGAAATATTTCCATTTTCTTATTCATAAGGGTTTGTTTTTTTTTCTTATTAACTTACTTATCAAGTACAAGAATATCATAATTTCCTGTATATTGTCTTGCTAAACGAAGTGCTAAATCATTTGATTCTGATCTATAGATTATAAAATAAAATAAAACAAAAAAAAAAGTATGTCGAAAATTCTACCCAGAATTGGTATAAAACATTTGATCAAGACCTTTTGGTAATGTTTTAGCAAGTTTTTCAGCTAAAATAACTGTATTATCATGTAAATAACGATTATTTGTTGCACATGCACCCATTTGTTTAGCTATTTGTTTAACAACATATGGATGACAATGACCAACTGAAATAAAAAAGAAAAAAAAAGAATTTTCTATCAATAATAATAATAAAATTAATACCATGAGCAACATTATTAATACAATCTAAATATTTATTTCCTAATTGATCATACATATATGTACCATTACAACGAACAATTTTGAGTGGATTTTCACGATAAAAAAGTTCCGTACAATATCTAATAAATAAAAAAGAAACATATTTATGTTTTTTTTAAACTTCAACTTACGGAATATAAATATCACGTAATGCTAATGTATGTTCCCTGGAATAATATTCTTTAAAATCATATTCTGGTTCATCACTTTTACTTTCGATAGCATCAGCATGATGATCATGAAGTATTGAATCAGCCATTGTTCTGTTAATTGATATAATTTGTCTTGAAAAAAAGATTTGTTTTTTTTTTCTCTCAAAGATAATATAAATAAAATACCATTGTTTATTAATTCAATGATTTATCTTAAACAATCTTTTTTTTTTCTTTTTTTCGTTTTGTTTGATACGGATTAGAATTAGTAGTTGTTATGCAAACTAAAGATACACACACACACACGCGCGCGCCAAAAACAATGAAAACAAACTCGATATTTTCTTCTTTTTTTTTTTCTATAGAAGAGAAAAAAAAATAAAAAGATCACAGTTTTAATGTAGGATAATGGGCATGTAAACTAAAATCAAAATCAATTTTTACATCTGGTTTATGTCCACTTAATAATAATTTTAATACAATGCCATTTGTTTTAGCTATACGTATATAAGATTCAACATCAATTAATGATGTTATACCTATTGTAAATGTTCGATTTAATGTTTGTTGTTGATATTGTTTTGATGTTGTTATACGATTAAGATAATTTTCAAAATATGTTTTAGCTTGAGAAAAATTATTTATTGCATCTTGATATAATTCAGATGCTGTATAACGATTATCACTTAAATGTTGTATATGAAGAAAATCTGTATGAGGCATATATGGTGGGGCACATAAATTTGCAAATGGGAGAAAACGATGACGATAACGAATTTCATCACGAAGAAAATAATTTGAATCATTACTACAATTGAAAATACAATTCAATTAAGAAAAAGTAAAATTATCTTTTTTTTTTTTTTAATTTGAAATTTCTTCAGAGTTGTTCTAACGATGAAATATTTTTTAAATGATCAAAGTTTTTTTTTTCGAAGTAAAAAACATTAAGAGAACAGTGATTGATTATAATATCGAAAAGTTGAGATCATGTAGAATTCATAGGATAAATAAATATTTTGAAAAGATTTGTACTATTAGACCTCTCTTTTCGAATTATGAGTATTTCACTGAACTTCCAGCTAGTGCAGAATATTACGAGAGAAATTACAACAAGGAGTTTTTGGCCTGGAATTCTTTCCACAAATGGTTTTCCTGGTATTGTGAGAGTTCCAACACAAAGGGTGGAAAAATTTTACGAGATTTGACTTTGTCCTGAGGGGGGAGTACGGAGATCTTCGCGGTGCTACCCCATAGCTGTTTCTTGCAAGTGAAACACATACATTTGAGATGCGGTTCGACGTACAATACCTAAATTTTGGTCAATTTTTTACGTTTTTCAGTGAAAATAATCGTATAATTCAGAAAACGAAATCCTATATAGAAATTCCTATAATTTGTAATCGGAGGCCAGTGAAAATAACGTTTCATTGAGCTCAAACTTTTAGGACTCCATGAGAACTATTGATAAGGATCCTTCCTAACTCGTTAGCTAAACTGCAGTTCATTGTCAGATCCTTTCACAAGGGAAGTTCTCAATTGATCACTTGCTTTTAAGTTAAGGTTATGTGCTTCATGTTCCTTGCTGTAAATATCCTGAATAGAGTTAGATCTCTTTGCTGCAGAGATACTGCATTTTCATGATATATTTTTACTCAATACGATAGTTCTACTCAGAAGTATTGATATTCGAATTTCAATTAGAAGCTTTGCATAGGCACCAAACTTTACGAGAATGGATTATTTTAAGAGTGTCTTTTTTTATCGACAATCTCAATGTTCTTATTTGAGAATACGAGCAAACCAAAGATTCTAAAACTTTCACAATAATTTATTGTTATTAAGATCTGTTTATACAATATCCCTATGACACTAACTACGGAACATTCCCAGGTGAAGGAGCGTTTTTCAGCCGGGGTTTTGCGCATCTTGTAGCCCATAGTGAGCTATGCCTATGGTAAAAACGTTCGGGTTTTTGGCTTGATTCTGAGGAGATACCGAGCTCCTAGTAAATTTTCTGTATAGTATGCCTACATTGTTAACAAAGCTATACTTCCGAATTTTGACCTGAAACTTTGCTTGCATAAAGGCCTCAGTTAGACTAGTTTGCATAACAAATTTCAGAAGTTTTGAACAAAGTCTCTCTAAAATATGAAACTATCAAGGTACAGTCCCTTTTTCATAATAATATATATACTATGCATTTTTTTCAAAGCTTCTGAAATTTGTTATGCAAACTAGTCTAGTTGAGGCCTTTATGCAAGCAAAGTCTCAGGTCAAAATTCGAAAGTATAGCTTTGCTAACAATGTAGGCATACTATAGAGAAAATTCACTAGGAGCACGGTATCTCCTCCAGAAACCCGAACTTTTTTAACCATAGGCATAGCTCACTATGGGCTACAAGATGCACAAAACCCCGGCTGAAAAGCGCTCCTTCATCTGGGAATGTTCCCTAGTAGCATAAATGCCAGACCTACTTTCACTGTCTCCGTAGTTCAGTAGAGTGTTAAAACCAGTTAGAAAACTTTCCTAGTTTTCTACATCTTACATGAGTTTTTTTCTACTCATAATGAAAAAAAAAAACAAACGAAAAATTTTACCTGCTAAATTTTAATCTTCGTTCAATATCTAATGCTTTTAAACATCTATGCATTGCTGTACTCATTGAAAAATGTCCATTAATTAATAATAATTCTTGTTCATGATATTCATTATTTATTGATAATAAACCATTTGGATTTTTTCTTTTATTTTTTTTTTGTGATGAATTATTTTCATTCATTAATTCAATTAATGGATCATCATTAATATGTTGTTGTATTAAATTATTTAATTGTTGTATAAATGGATTATTTATTTGAATTTTATTTATTTGTTGTTTTTGATTTAATTGAACAAGAAATGATACTGTTGTATTTAAAATATTTTTTGATGTTTTATAAACATTAATATGTGTAAATAAAATAATTTGAGCAAAATAAAAATACACATCATATAATTCACGTTTTGAATATAATGATAAATCAAAACCCATTAATAAATAATATTCCATTATTAATAATGTCCAATGTAATATAAATTGAAAAAAATATGAAGTTTTTTCAATTAATAATAATGTTTGAGCATTAACTGTTGATAAACTTGTTTGTATTATTTGTTGTATAAGATATTTATGTAACCATTGATCTAATTTTTCACTTTCATCTTGTAAAACACTAAATTCATCTAATAAATTTGATAATTTTTCACGTGTACGTGCATGATTATTACATAATGAATAAAATAAATTTGAAAATGGTACACATGCACGTTGAAAAAAATTTTCACTATAATTTAATGTTTCATGATCAATTGATAAATATTTTAATGTTAATAATGGTGGTACAATAAATAAACGTATTTCATATTTAACTTGTTCAGTAAATAAAATTTGTCCAAATATTTTTCTTGAACTTAATAAACAACCTTGAATTGATGGTAAATATGATAAAAGTAATAATGAACGTATAAATAATGATGGTTTTTCATATGTTGAATATTCAAGAAAAAATTCAAATGATTGTTTTAATGTATGTTTATCATTAATTTCAAGCATTTTACGTAATTGTTTAGATATATTTATTAATGATGTATAAACAAATGATGGTAATATTAATTGACGTATAAAACGATTAAATGCTGGAGGTAATTGACGATAATTATAATAGGGATCAAATGCATAAGATATATCATTTATTAATGTTGAAGAAATTATTAATTGAGAATTATCGTCGATTTTCGTCTAAATTATTATTTAAATCAATTGATTATTTTTTTTTTTTTGTTTTTTCTTAATATAGTTTTGATGAAGAAATAACAAAATCCTAGAAGTCTCGTGAAGATTTTGGGTGTGTTCATTGTGAATTTTACCAAATCGTAGCTCTGTTTTCATAGTTTAACAACTCACTATGTCAGACTAGAAATACTAAATATGATGTATTTTGATATCGCTTAAAATTGATCATAGATCACAAGTACAGATGATTGTATATATTGAATATCATCCCTTTGGACGGAAAGATACATTTAAAAAAAAAATGTTTTAAAAAAGTTCGACTTACTTTTCAGTCAAAATATTATAAAAAAAAATGCAATATCACATTTAAAAGAATCAAATGCAAGGTTTGTAATCGTAATATGTTTTTATATTGTTGTATGTGGTGAGAGCTTACCAGGACTTATATTTTTTTTACAGGATTTATTTATTTATTGATGATTTAAAAGGATTTATTACCCTTGGTAATATATATATATTGAGAAATCGAAAAACAACAACCCTGGAAAGATCACTTTTTCAATATTTATCATAACAAGACGATATGGTGACGAAAATCGCAATTCTATATGTTGAAATTATCTTGGAATATTAGACAAATAAAGCTATTCGTTAGATGTATGATCCGTTTTTCGCTTCATTTTAGATGAATTTATTATGATAGGTTCAAAATTTCAGTTTGCATAGTTAATAAGCAAAAATGGAAAGCCTGTATATAAATAAATACAGCTTAGAAAAAAAAATTCTTAGCGTAGTCTCTAGAGGATTAAAATGTAAAACATGTTGGATTTGTGTCAATTTTAAAATTAAGGGATTTTACAAAGTACATATTTCGATTTGTGACTTCTAATTGTGAAAAAACAAAAAATATGTGATTCATAATATGTTATAATGAGTACGAAGATCATACATTTTGATGATAGTAAATAATCTTAAAATTTTCTCTGATATTATAGATAATTGAAAGTTGAATTCAATTCAATTTTTGACAAATATAACACTACTGATAGATCTCGATATTCATAAAAACTTTATCAAAATGTAACTAAATAAAATATAATTGACTTACAATATCATCTTCAGTAACAACATGTGAAGGTCGAATAAGTTGAAGTATTTCATCAATTTGTTTAAGATATTTTAAAATTTCTTCACTATTTAAATAAGTTTGTTCGCCTGTTTTTTCATTAGCTTCATTATATTTAAGTATTAAACTATAAAATAAACGTAAAAATTTAATACGATATATTAATTGTTGTGTTGCATTAATATCTAATTGATTTAAATCTGTTTCATGTTTTAATGAACGTAAACGTTTATTTAATTCATCTTCAGATTTTTTTAAATCACTTAAACATGTTTGATCTTTAATAATATGACGATAAAATGGAAAATTATATGTTAATGTTCCACTAAAATCTTCTTCTTCAAATAAACCAGCTTTTAATAATATACGTTCACGTATATAATCAATTAATTTAATAAATGTAAAACATATTGAACGTAAATGATTATCATCAATTATTGTTATATCATGTAAATAAACACATGTAAATAATGTTAATGCAAGACTATGTCCATCAAGCCACATATGAAATGTTGATAATAATTGATCAAATAAATGTATTAATTCAATAGATGTAAATTTTTTTATTTTTAATAATTGTTTATCAATTAATTGTTTTAATGTTAAAATATGATTACCTTGTTTTTGTTCTTGAAAATGATTTTTTATTGACATACCACCATCCATTTTTGGATCCATTAATTCAAGTGCTGTCATTGCTTCAAATAATGTAAAATCTCTATCACGTACAATTTCACCAATTGGTAAATGATGACATAAATCAGCAAATTTGCTTGTGACATCAGTCCAATTATATGTTGTATCTCCTATTATTTCTTGCATTTAGCACCAAATTATAATGAATTTTTATATCTACAAAAAACAAAACTAGAACTAAATTTCGATTGAAAGTTAATCTTTTTTTTTGTTTTTGTTTTTACAGATTAGATATGTAGTTTTATTATCTGTTGTCTAAAAATTAAGACATTAGAAGAATCGAACAGTTGCTCGTATATTCAGAGGTGGCGGAAGAATTTTTGTGAATGCTGGATCTAAGCTTCAGAGCAAATGATAAGCTTTTATAAAAAAAAATTTTCCGATTAGAGTTTTTGAAAAAAAAACTTTTTTTCCTGAGCGTCGCCTAGATTTTTCTTGTTCTGTTTCTTAGCAATTAATAGTAAGCTACATCGAATTTCATCGATAGATTTCAAAATTTCATCTAAAAATATGCAACCGTTCAGGAGTTATAACGTTTTGAATTTTTGCTAAAATTTCAATTTCTAAAAAACGGAACACTAATAACAGGACAAGAAAAATCTAGGTGAGGCTCAGGAAAAAAAATTTTTTTTTTCGCAAACTTTAATCGGAAAATTTTTTTCATAAAAGCTCATCATTTGGGTCCAATATCATCCTCCATAAGTTTCATTTGAGTCCCATGCTCTGAAGCTTAGATCCAGCATTCACAAAATTCTTCTACCTCTTCTGCATGAATCCACATTCATTTAAGTATATATCCTTGTGAACTACTTTTCTAGATCTTTAATATGAGGAAAAAATATAGATAACAAGAAACTAATCGTAATCATATATTGTGATATTATAATTTCAAAAAATAATTTATGTGAAATTTTTATCAGTGAACAACTATTGAGTGTGTAGTATTTTATCGAAATGTCTTCTTGAAATAGACAATAGTACTTCTTCGATTATGACTAATCTATTTTTATAATTTTCTAACTAAAATGGTTATTCTGAGAAGCAACTTTAAATAGCCTACTTAGAGTTTTAAATTTTCGAAAAATAAATCGATTAAGAGATCTTTTATAAAGGAAATCAATTCAAATGACAATGAGACAGACACAGATCTTATACATCACTCATATGTATCTCATTCGAGTTTACATGAGACTCTTAGTCTCGACTCAAAAAACGATTTAGTTTGTTAAAACTAAACACTAAGTAGTTTCTAGAAAAAAAAATAAATGATTTTCTATACTACTTGAATAATTAATACACAACATGACGAGACACAACACCAATTTATGTCACTAAAAATTCCATTTTATCATCTTTTCATATTACACGTAATATATATGTATCAATATGGCAAGTACCAATCCAATAAGTGCGCAAAACCAACATGGAAATCGTGGTATGGAAAACCATCTACGATTAATTTGATTTAATCTTTCCATAAAAGCTACTACTTTTGGATTATAAGGTGGATTACGTTTTGAAATAAGAGGTTCTGTCCAATTAGGTGCATAGACAACTGTACGTTGATGACTAAATGAATCAAATGTATATTTTCCATGATATGAACCAATACCACTTGAACCAACACCACCTAATGGTAATGATGGTGGAGCAACTTGAAAAATAACATCATTAATACAAGTTGAACCAGCACTTGTTGAATTTATAATTCGTTTAGCTAAATTTTTATTTGATGAAAATATATAAAGTGCTAAAGATTTATCTCTATTATTAATAAATTGAATTGCTTCTTGTTCATTATTAACTGTTAGAAATGGAAGAATTGGTCCAAAAATTTCTTCTTGCATAATATCATCATTTTCAGTAACATTGATCCTATTGAAATGTAAAATTATTTAATCAAAAAAAAGAAAAAAAAAAACTAAAACTAAAACTAAAAATTCAAATTATATATTTTTTACATAATTGTTGGTGAAATATAATTTTCATTTGAATCAATTTGTCCACCATAAATAACTTTATCTTTATTAATTAATTTTTTAACACGTTCAAAATGTCGATTATTAATTATATGACAATAAGATTCTGAATTAAGTGGATTATCTGTATAAAATTGTCGCCAAGCTTTAACTATTTCAGGTATAAGACGATTCTCTGTTATTTTTGAACATAATACATAATCAGGTGCTAAACTATAAAAATAAAATTGAATATAATTTCTTTGTTTAAAAATGAAAAAAAAAAAAAATTTTACTAATAATATTATTCTTATCTTTAGAAAGGCATAACAAATTAGACAATATTTAATAATAAATTTTTGAATACAGTATAATCTCTTCAATTGATTTATTTAAATCAAAATGTATTCATCTACCAGTAATATCACTCTTCGATATATCTTATTCAACTGGCATCCCACCGACAGCTCGTCGAAAAAGAGGCGCATTTTTCAGCTTGTGAAATGCGAACAAAGACTCTCGCGAGCCTCAAAGGTTGACAGATTGCAGCATCGCTAATCTGAATTCAATACAGACTGAAAAAAACCCGAAAGATAAAAGCGATTTTCAAGTTGTTGACATTTGTTGCAATCATGCTTTTTCTATCCAGCTCAGAAAAAAAGAACTGCAAAAAAAGAAAAAAAAAACGGATGTGATATCACTTTATCTTACTGCTTGTAGACAAAGAAATAGACATTTAAGAAAAAATCACTTAATATCCAAAATCTGTTCAGTTTATAATATTACGAGAGTAGAAAGACCTAACAAAAAGCGAAACAGTAGAGCATGCATATTGATAAGACAAGAAAATGGATAAATTTGGCTTAAATCAAAAGTTGCAAAATGTCTTTCTCAAAACGATGACCAGAATTTCTACTTTGAACAGCAGAAGTTCTCTCTGAAAGCACAACAATACCAAATGTGATCAATTCTACAGATTTGAAATTGAGTGATATACAAGAAAAAAGAACTTGAAAAAATTTTGATTCCTGAGTATACTAAGTTCGAGTTTTGACGATTTTTCAAGAAATTTTATTAAAGACAGAGAAACTTTACGTCTTTGAAGTTACATGACACGGCGAGTTTTTACCAAAATTTGTGAGAACTTATCACTAATTCTTCTTCGAGGCGATCTAAGGCGCCGAACTCGCTAGTGAGTATGAACTAGCATTTTACGAAGATTTCTGCCTCTGAAGAAAGTTTTAGAGATTTATTAGCTAAAATCGGGTTTTGTTTTTCGTAACAACCGGCTGTCTTGTGAACGATTTCCTCATCCAGGCAATTGTAGTTACTTTGACGGCATATTCAGCAGTTTCGGAGTCCAAATCTTGAGTTTCAATTATCGAACTCCATGTTTAAGTTCATAATGGAAGCTGTCTTGATGCTTTGCTCAAGCTTTACACACATCTGTTAGAAAAAACTATTTCAATGAGCTCAAATATCTAACTTTCAAAGTTTTATATTTGCACGTAAATAACTCGATCACAATTTATTTTAATATTTCCAAATTTCAACCTCAATAAATATTGGTTTTAACTTCTTCGATCAAAGTTCATGCCAAAAAATCTTTTGGATTGGAATTAATGCATATTTAATTATTATAATGCGTCCTGAAGGATAATTTTCAACCTTGTTATTCACCTTATTGGTTCGAAGCATATCGGTTATTACCCTTAAAAACCTAGGTTTTTCCAAAAAAAGAGGCGGAAAGGAGGAGGTTCAGAAAAAATAGACGGAGTGGGAAGCCAGTATTCAACTCTAAAGATTAGAATATATTTAACAATGAGAACAAATAAGTTCTAACATAACTTCGTTGAGATATTCTCTTATACTTCCTCCTCCTCCCCCATCATAAGACTTTTGCGCGACATCTTATTCTTTCTTTTTCTATACATATTTTCGCTTGTTACTATCATACGAACATTTTTTTTCTCCAATTACATAAGAACATTTGCAAAACATATAAATCTATGCTCAAATATATAAAAGTATCAATATATGGTTTGATAAACTTATTTTTAAATTTTTTTTTTTTCTATAAAATTTTACCAAGTTTGTCCACAATTGATAGTTTTTCCCCAGGCAATACGTCTTGCACATATTTCTATATTAGCATCATCAGCAATATAAACAGGATTTTTTCCACCACATTCAAGTGTTACAGGAATCATTTTTTCTGCTGCTACTCTCATTATTATTTTTGCAACTATTGTCGAACCAGTGTAAAATATTTTATCAATATCACTTTTAAGTAATATTTGTGTTTGTTCTACACCACCAAGTACAATACGAATACATGATGTATCAAGATAACGTTCAATCATAGTTGCCATAATAACAGCTGAATTAGGTGCTAATTCCGATGGTTTAAGTATAACACAATTACCAGCAGCTATAGCACCAATTAATGGTGTTAATGTAACTAAAAATGGATAATTCCATGAACCAATAATTAAACTAATACCTAATGGTTCTGGATGAATATATTTATCTAATGCTGCAAAAATAAATGCATCGGACATCTTTTTATCACGTACCCATTCATCTATATGATTGAGAGTATGAATACATTCATTACGAATCTATATGATATTACAAATGAATCATTGGAAGGTTTTAATAAGAACAAAAAAAAAAACTTACTGCACCACAATCAAATAAAATTGTTTCAGATTTTGGTCGATGAAAATCAGTATAAGCAGCTGAAGCAAAAACATGTTTTTGTTCATCACACATTTTATATATTTGTTCAATTTGTTTTTTACGCCATGATAATGATTTTGTTTTACCATTATTAAATGATTGACGAAGATCTTTAAATATATTTTCAATAATATCAATAGATGTTTCAATCATAGTTAATAAATATATTTATTAACTTCTTCGATAATCTAAATATAAAACAGACAGTTAATATGTTGGAACAACCATGAGTGACGACATTCGTTTATTTTTTCATTGGTTATTAAATAAATACAAACTGAACATGAATATTAAAGATGTCGTGCTATATCACTACTCGAATAAAATTTCTGTAAAACAGAAAAAAATAAAACGATTAGCAACATGTTTATGAAATGTATTTAAATTAAACTTGATCAAATACATGTAAATTTCTATAAGAACAAAATAAAAAATTACTTTTCTTCATCAATATAATGACATAAATATAGCCATATCAGAAAAAAAACGAGTCCTAGAGTTCAATCGTTTAATGTATTTAGCAATTTCTTTTCATGCGAGAAATCAATCACTTTCTATTACAAAAAAAAAGAATTCATCTTTTTTTCTATTATTCATAAAATATGTTTGAAGATACCGACGTATTTTCTATATATTTATTAAACTATATCTTCAATCTTTTAGGTGTTAAGAAAAAAATTTGATAATTAAGAGAGGCAACTGACATACAAAATAAAATAATCATATTGCAAATATTTTCAAAATTTTTCATCGAAAAAAGTTAAGATTCATCAAGATTTCATCGTTAGAGAACTGCAGCATACATCTTTTGAAGTAAATAGCTCAATAGAAGTATACTGATTGCGAATATGAGATTTATTTTTGATGAAATTCAACTTTTTGCAATGAAAAGTCTGAAAATATTTTTACTGTTCAGTTATTTTGTACGGAAGGTGCCTTTCTCTCTAAATAGATCACATTTTTTGCTGAAATTACTAAATATATCAGACAAGAAAACTATTTGAATTGTATCACCGGTAAAAATATTACGCCATTTTTTTTTTAGTGTGATATAAAACGCACTCGAATGACATTTTGCGAACAAAATATGAAAAAGGATAAGAGGTATCAATATATTCTAACTATCTTATATGTGATGGGTTAGAACTAAAATTTGTTGAATATGGGCTTCGAAATTTTCTGTCTATTTTCGATTTCAGACTTTTTAAAGGTTTTCTCATTAGTTTCGAACCAAAAAAAAAAAAGATAGAAAACTTCTAAATCTATATTCGATAAGAAAACAAAATTCATAGGGTTTCATCGTTCAAGTAAATTAACCACAACATATCTACAAATAATCAAATCCTGAGATATTATTCTATTGTTGATGTCTGCGTTTGTCAGATGGTTATCTTTAAGTGCAATTTATTTATCTGTTTGTTCTCCTACGATACACGTAAAAAGGAAAGATTCATAACATTGACATTCTTCTTTTCAAAAGAACATGATATCGAATAAAACAGAGTCATTTGAAATGATACAAAGAATTCTTATGTATTTCAAAAAATGTTTTTCTTTATTTCCAATAAGGTATAAGCACGTGAAATGTTATTTTCAATTTGTAAGATATCCGAATGTGTCGAAGATAAAGTTTGTCGATAAATAGCTGCAGCTTCTCGATAGTATTTTAATGCTTCTTGAACATTATTTTTATTTTCATGAATTAAACCAATATTTTCTAATGTCATAGCGATAGATGAATGATTAGAAGGAAGATATCGATATTTATTTTCAAGTGATAAATTATAATATTCCATAGCATTATCATAGAAACCACAACACCAATAAAGTGCACCAATATTATGATATGTTTGTCCTAAATCTATATGATCTTCAGATAAATATTTCTTTTCAATGTCTAAAACTTTTTTATAATATTCAAGTGCTTTGGAATAATTTTGTTCTGTTCGATAAACAAGACTAATATTATTTAAACAAGTAGCTATTTTGCTATGATCATTGTCTGATGTTGAGTTTAAAATTTTTAATGCTTTTTCATATGAATTAATAGCTTGTTTATAATTATTTTTATTAAAATAAACAATACCAAGACAATTATAACTATCAGCAATATTTGAATCATCATTTTTAAATAAACGTTTTTTAATTTCTAATGATTTTAAATGATATTCAAGACTCTGATCATAATTATTTTTAATATAGGCAACATTTCCTAGATTACGATAAACTATATGTATATCGAGATGATTAGATGGTAATTCATTTAATATATGTTTATAATATTTTTCAGCATTATCATATTGACCTATACGTGCTAAAAAATTTCCAAATGAAATAAGATCTTTCTCAATATCACCATCTTCCTTTTGAATTTGTTCAAAAATATTTTTCAAATCAGGATGATTTCTACTTGATAATTTCATTTGACATATCCAAATATCATCTTGTTGAGAAAAATTTTCTATATGAAATATTGATCCTAACATAAAAAGTATTTGTGATTGATTTATAGATGAATTAAATAATTTGATATCAGCATATGGTTGAATATCATTAATAGATGGATTAGCATAAATTTCAAATAAAATTTTATGTGAATTATTTGCTTGTTTTAAAGCAAGAAAAGCTTTTTCACGTTGAAATGTTGTTATTAAAAATGTATTAATTGATATAAATTTTCCAATAGATTTTTTTAATTGTTCAAATTCTTCATCTGTTATTAAATAACTATAATAAACATGTATTGATGTTGAACATTTATATAATTTTAATTGTTGATATATATTATGAATATATGAACGAAATAAATAAAGTAAATTAATATTTTTTTTATTGAATGCTTTAATTAATAATTTAGAAAGTAATTTATCTTTTGTTAACAAATATAAACTATTATTAGATGGATTATTTTGTTGAAATTCTTCAAGAATTTTTGATTCTAAATCATCTTCATCAGATTTTGTTTCACATAAAGTAAAAAATTGTTTATCAATGATTGAATTAATTTTCATTTTAAGTAAATAATCAATTAATAATTGTGAATGAATAAATTGATCATCAGAATTGTTTGTATAAATATTAATATAAAGTGATTCATTATTGATTTGATAAATTTCTTTTTTATTATCATTACAAATTTGTTTAATTAATTCTTTTTTTGTTGTTACAACATTTTTGATTTTTGAATAATTGTTTGACCATTCTAAATTTGCTTCTCTATCGAAACAATAAACATAAATCGAATAAATTTGTTTTATATCATGAATACGTGGTACCATTTCTCGACCTAAACGACCGCTAACAATTAAAACAATTCGTGTATCAATTGATAATGATTGAATATATGTTTCACAATCATAAATACTATCAAATGTTTGAAAATCATCACTTAATTGACGAAGATCATTTTGAGTTTGCTTATTTTCTGATCCATTTATTTCAGCATCAAGCCAAATTAAAGTAAATATCTCTAGGTCGTTATTGTCTAGTTCAAAACTTGATGTCATTTAAATTTCATCATATGGATACAGACGTTTGTTAAAAGAAAATAAAGCAAAAAGAATTTGTTTTTCTTCTTGTTGTTTTTTTTCTTCTTTTCGATCACATGCTGCTGCAATAAATCTCTGAAGAAAAGAATCTTGTGCAACTCGATGAAAAAAAAACATTCAAGTGGTTTGCCGAGCAAATAGAAACCAAAAGGAAAAGGTACCCGTTATATAAATAATCTCTGTCAGTGACTATACAACAGAGGGTTAGTATATAGTAATTTATTATGAGATGAATCTGGCCGTACGATAATTACATAGGTATCCAATCGATTTTCTCATCTTTTACAAATACTTGCTTTTTCTCTAGCTTGAATCATTCATAATACTGATAATATTACATTCAATAATATGACATTAAAGTACTTCAAACAAAATGTAATATAATGAAAACTAATTCATATTTAATTTTTGATAGTGGATGTGGTATGAATTACATCTTCTTCAGACGACATCTTAAGAGTTTTCTTCATTATTTAACGGAAGAAATGTTAGCAATCGAATCGAGTATTCCTTGATGACATTTGCTCCTGGAGATGTGCTGGTCTTTTAAATAGGCAGCCATCGTAAGTGGGCAGTGTTGTTCTGAATGAGAAATGGGTTGCAAAAAAGACGGATACTGTGCATTGCCAATGGCATTGCTAAAAGAACCCTGCGATCCATTTTCTTCAGCATTTACATATAAATATGTTTTAGAAATGTATTAATCGGTCGCAAAGAATAAAGTCGAACGTGATCAATAGTTGAGCATGTAAATGTGTTAAAGTTTCTTGTTTTTGACGATGATATTCTTACTTTCTATCCTTCTATCTTTCATTTTGCTATATCTTATTCTTATCGTTCTATTTACTAGTTCTGAATTTCTTCTTATCTTGCATTGTTAACCTTGGTTTTATCAGGACAATGAAAGTCAATATTGAAGAAAAGCAAATGAAAGTTGAAGAGAATAACCATAAAATAAGTAATATTGTTGAGTTTCTTTTTCTTTCATTTGTGGCTGACAACCATATTTGCAATTCAGACTAGGTGGAGCTTATTGTGAAGTGTCAACGAAAAAGAAAAACATCCACGTTTGACGTCGTAGGAAAATTTAGAAAAAGAAGCAGCACGCATCGAATCTATCAATAGTAAAGGTTATATTTGTCCAAACAACAATCTGTTGTTTACTAGTTTCAAAATCAACAATGGATGCTGCCGCATGTACTATAACATCCTCAAATACTATGCAACCAAAACGATGTATGATTCAGAATTATTTGCTCATCTGGATCGATGAAAATATTAATGAAGCAAATAAGGATTGTCAAAATACACTTACGCAATTGCGCAGTGTCGTCAACGAAGTGACAATTTGTACCGAACCGGCACAATGTATCAAGTGCCTCAATGACATGAATGATGAGAAAGCTTTCGTCATCTCTTCTGGTGCTTTAGGTCAGCATCTGATCCCACAAATACATGATATGCCACAGTTATACGCTATTTATGTGTTCTGTGGCAACGAATCGCAACACAAAGTATGGATCCAAGAATGGTCGAAGATTCAAGGTGTATTTACTTCAATTAAGCCAATATGTGATTCATTAAAAAAAGTTGCTCGCGACTGCG